CTCAGCTTGTTTAACGCCTACAATCTAGTATCATTTAGGATATTTGCATTTGGTGCCAATAAAGTTGTCATTGATATCACAAAGTTAATTATAGATATTTTAAAGCCACAAACTTTCATTTTAAATCGGATAATTTACATTTTAGTGGCTTTACGTTTTAATTTTAAAAAAATATTTCGAGCATGAAGAAAAAAACTTGTAGCATCTAAATTTAAAACTATACAAACTTTATGGCATCAAAGTGTAATTTATCTTATCACTTATTAGGATGAGATTCTTTATTTTCTTAATTCTAGAGAATTCCTACAATTGAGTATATGAATCAATAACGTTGTTTCATCTAGTGAGTCTCATAAATAAAGCAAAATTTTAATATAATTTATGTGAACAAGTGACGTATGCTTTCAGTTTACATTCACAAAATGTACGGGACTAGTAGACTTGTACGTTAAGCATAGAGTTTGTTGGCTCTGCCCAGCAAACCCACCGACCTACTAGTCCAGTGGATCCCGTGGATTTGTTGGGCAGAGCTAATAACTAGCTCAACTCTATGGGACTACTAGTCCCATAGATTTAGCAGCCTATATAATGCTTACTTGTGCCCCAAATTAGGGCACAACCGTTCTCAACTTGGGCGATCTCTCTCTTTTTCTCCCTATCGCTCCCCCAGTCTCCCTCTCTCCCAAACCCGATCACCCTCTCTCCCAAACCCAATCTCTCTCTCTCTCTCCCACGCCCAACTCACCTCTTCCTCCCTCAAATTTCTCTAAACTCATTTCCTCCAAAAAAACGTAATTGTGATCTTCCCCAAAGATCACCCGGCGGTGTTGAAATCCAACGTCGTCTATTACTCCCCGTCGCCAACGAGATCCGAATTTTTATCAAGGTATAAATTTCTTATTTTTTTCATAAATTTCTCTATATTGTTTAGTTAATATTGTATATGATTATTAAAATTGAAAAAAAAATCTAATTTGTATATGATTAATTTTAATTCTTTAGTTAAAATGGCGAATAGAATACTGATTATTTGCTTATTCAATAGAAAACCGAGTGTTGGAATGAATAATATGTCAATATATGACGGAGGGTTTATAAAAATATTCATGTTAACTAGAAATTGTAATTTCGATTGAATGATGGAGAAAATATACAGAGTTACTAGAATTAATCATGCCGAAAATGTCATTAAGGTCTTTTGTAATTGTCCAATAAATGAAAAAAAGAACAATTGCTGTAGAGATCACCAGTGATGAAGAATTGAATGACATGATATAACTTGCGAAAAAAACAAATCTCAATCAAGTTGTTCATTAAAAATATTCTAATGTTTGGGGTTCCCGAAGTTTCATATGCTCACGAAGAGTTCTCCCGCATGCTTGAAAATCAAATCTTGTTATCTATAAGTGTCTTGCACTTAAAAAATGACTCGGGTGTAATATCAAGTGACGTGTCCCACAACGCACTGGGTCATGTTTCAGTTGATTTACCGATTGGTTCTATTATAGAAGAGGATGAGGATGTAGATGCCGATGATGAAAATGAAGATGTTGAAGATGAGGAACGTATTGATAGCATGTGTGTGCAATTGGAGAGACCTATGATGACGTAAGTTGGATGGATGGATATTGCGTAAATAACGATTATGTAGAGTCTGAAGAACCATTGCCAGAAGAGTTTTAAAATGATGAGTGGATAAGTGCCTCACAAGCTGAGTTCGTTAAGCTTGGTCCTAATTTCAATCGACCCAATGACTTCACTTATAAAAAAGGAGAATTTTGGCACTGCTTAGTATCCCAAGCCGATTTTCTCACTTGCTCAAAATTGCGATGGATGAAGCTCGATTGGGCACTGCTTAATGCTTTGATGGATAGATGGATGTCGGAGACTAACACTTTCTATCTACGTGTCGGCGAGGAAACTATTACTCTCCACGATGTAGCAATTATCCTAGGTCTCCGCATTGATGGTCTTTGTGTCACGGGGACTGATAGGCATGTTTGGCGAAGTGTGTGTGATAATTTATTAGGATTATATTCGGAGTCCTTGCTTGGAGGGTATATTAGATTGAAGTGGCTAAAGGAGAATTTTGCAAACCCGTTGCCACAAGATGCATCAGAAGTCATGATCCAATAGCATACTAGAGCATATATTTTGCACATGATCGGGACGCTTTTTTTCCCCGATTCAAGTAAACATAAAGTGCATTTGAGGTAAGACAACTTATTATTGTTATAATGTATTTGAATTTGATAAGGAGAGATTTTTGCTCACTATTTTTAGAAAATATGACTAACACATTTGAATTTGTGATAGGTGACTACCACTTCTCGAGGACTTTGACATGTGCGGGACATTATCATGGGATAGTGCTGTTTTAGCATACCTATATCGAAAAATGTCAAAGGCTGCTTTAATGCAAAAAATCCCCCTTAAAAAAATTGAACATTTATTTTGACACTCAACGTTTTATTCTTCTTCCTTGTCTTCGAAGAATCCGGCTGTTTGATGGGAAAATAAAATGAGATAATGGGAAACAAAGTGACTTAGAACTATATGTGTGTTATCACTTTCACCCTCTTTTGAAAGATTTGAATTGCCAAGTAAATTTTGTCTATTTGAAGAAATCAGAACCTGAATTTAAGGAAGCAAATTACTTTAATTGAGGAGCTTTGCATCTATCTATTTGGGGCCTACATGCAGCTCTTTTGTTCTTGACCTCTATTTAAGGCCTATCAGACGCAGCTGGTGGAAGATATTAGGATGGTTGGAACGTCATGCCATGTTTAATCTCATAGTTCATGGTTTAGACCAAATCAGATGGATTAAAAGTTAGTTGCTAATAGGGGTAAGATTTTAGGATGGTTGACGTATCATGTCATATTTCGATATCCCATGATTGTCGGTTTAGACCAATTAGTCAGATGGATTAAGGTCTAGCTAATCTACATACAGATCTACGAATGCGTAGCCAATACAGAATGATCGTCGTTGTTGATATCTGATATCAAACAGTCATATGAAAGGAGTGATTAACAGAGGTACTTTAACCCTTCGAACGTCTAGTTCTGGAGTAAGTTGTTCTTCCCTGCACAAGGAGCAAATCGTAAGAAGGAGGTGTTGGGTTCCCTAGTTGTTCCTCCGACTATCAAGTCAGTGATTTGCTTGAGTGGAGAAGTAAATGAACTGCAGTAGTTCTTAAGCACATTGGATAGAGTAAAGATCATATCTCACTAGTAGAAATACGATCAACCTAGATGGAAATTTCCGTCTAGGTTGATAGGTGTAGACGGAATTCCGTCTAGTTTGACGAGTTTATTCTGTTTCCGTCTATGTTGGTTCAAAATAGACGGAATTCCGTCTAGATTATTCAATCTAGACGGAAATCAACCTAGACGGAATTGAAAAATCCGTCTAGGTTGACAATTTAGATGGAATTCCGTCTGAGTTGTCAATCTAGACGGAATTCCGTCTGGGTCATCAACCTAGACGGAATTCCGTCTGGGTTGATAATCCAGACGGAATTCCGTTTGGGTAATCAACGTAGACGGAATTCCGTCTACGTTGCATACTCAGACGGAATTCCGTCTGGATAATCAACTCAGACGGTATTCCGTCTGAGTTGAACCATCCTAGACGGAATTCCGTCTGGGTTGATTATAGCAACCTAGACGGAATCTCGTCTAGGTTGGTTCAACCCAGACGGAATTCCGTCTAGTTTGTTCTTTTTCCAGAAAAAAATATTTACAATTTGCATTTCCCTGTACACATGAATACATCACACAATAATACTGTACACATGAATACATCCAACCATCCAATAATAATCAAAATTCCAAACAATACCATTCCAAACAATTCCAACACCATATACAATTCAAACCATCTAATCCAAAATATGCATCAACCAATTACGTCTAATATATACATCCCACAACATATATACTAACAATATACATGAATATTATAGGATACACGACATTAATAAATGTAGTGTTATAACAAAGTAGTGTTATAAATGTAGTGTTATAACAAAGTAAACTATTTATTGCAATAAAATTGGCAAAAAACCTCAGCTATCATCGTCGGCAGGGGTATCTCTATCCTGGTTACGAGAACGGGTGCTGCTCCCTCCAATATCTCCACTCTAAAATTTTAATTGAATAATGATTATGTGGTGTTTGATAATATATTAAATAAAAATAAATTTATAAAAATAACAAAAAATAAGGTACCTGTGCGCTGCTATGTCTAGCGCCAGAATTATCACAACTCGAGCTTACGAGCCGTATGACACCACCATACGCGCTATAAGGAATCGCACCGCCTAAATATTATATAACATACCCCATGAGATCGTCCATCCGCGCTATAAGGAATCGCACCGCCTAAATATTATATAACATACCCCATGAGATCGTCCATCGAGTTCGCTGTCAGCGCAACTCTAGAAATATTATATAACATACCCCATGAGATCGTCCATCGAGTTCGCTGTCAGCGCAACTCTAGTCATCTCAGTAGTCACCTGAATATGCAGCTCCGGGTCAATCTTGTCAATCAAATACGCAGAGATACGTGCGATAAGTGACATAGCCTAGAAACTGCTTGGGGCTGTTCTTATTGACGCAGATGGCATGGAGGATGATGTGGATGATCTCATACTTATGCCGGGTGAAGCGTCAATCTCATGTGTTATATATCACTCTATTTTTAAAATATATATATTTTACAATACAAAATAAATCTGGCCAAGATTTGGGTACTGAAGAAATTTTCCCAAGCACAATACAAAATACAGGAGTAGAGAACCTCGAAGAGCTAGACCGTCGGTACGGCAGCGCTACGTTACGCTATGTGTTATTTTACGCTACGGGACTCGTTATTTTCTAGACTGATTTTACCAAAACAAGTGATATTATTACATATTAACAAACAGCCCGCTCAGATGGATTCACAACTTGGAAGTCAATCAAGTTCAAAGAAATATATTGTATGGACAGAGAAGATTTCTTTTTATCTCTGATTTTAGCATCGTCATCAAGGTTTTTGGTGTTGAGATCACATCTTTGAAAACAGCAGGTTCTAACTGATATGTATTTTTGTGAAAGTAATTGAAATTATCCTGTCTGAGCTTAGTTCTCTATTATTGTGACTGAAGTTATAAGTGTTTAGCTTGATGTCGATGATATTTACCTTATCGGACACATGCAAGATTTGTCCTATAAAATTCTTGCTATCTGCCTTTACATTTGCCAGGGATAACAATCATGGGAACTGTTACCTCAAGTAGTCTGTTCGTAGAACTGCATTCACAAAAATCACTTGCTATCAGGTTTATATTTAGTAGATTTCAATGTGTACACTTGCATTGCAGCCACTGAAAGTGCTTAGCACTTAAAACACACAACCATCAATTAGAATGCTGGAAAACCACACGCGCATGCACGTGCGCACACACAGAGGAACATGGATATATACACACTAGTGGGTGTGAAAATGTAAAAAACATTTATGTTCATGAAGTTGTTGCTGTTTTGTTTAGACCACGTGCATTCAATGTTGTCGCTTTCCTCAATAGGATAATGATCTTTTCGAGTTTGATGAGTCTCGAGAAATAATAGAAAGCTTGATTGATGAATACAAGGCATGCGAGTCACCAGATTATATCAAATGGGGATGGAGGTAGTTTACACTGAAACTGTAAAGTTAAACTAAATACACTTACAGTAATCTTAATAACAAATTAAATGCAGGATGCTGACCGATCATTGACAGGAGAAGCCAGTGTTGCTGGAGCATTGGAATCGAAGTTGACGATGTAATCAAGTAAGCAACATATGTATATGCTCCTTCCAAATGAGCAGTATCTTCTATTTTTCAGAATTTACTACAATCAAAATCACATTACCTTGGTTAAACTAATCAATAATCATTGTATGTTTGAAAATTTTATGGATCTAGGTAAGTAGTTTTGTAGATATAAGAGATTTTCACTCAACCTGAAGAAAACTATCTCAAATATTTTCCGGTGATCACAGCAGAACATTATGCATCCAATTTTTCTTTTTTTGACCCCTTTTGAATGGTGCTTTAGCTATGTATCTAGCAGTTTCTAACTTTCTATTATCACGGTTGGTCCCACGAGGCTCTGGAGGTTGTTTATATTTTCTGATTTATTTGTTCTTCCTATTAAAGTTGCCTTTGTTTTGTAGTTCTGAGAGTTATGGCAGTGTTGACACTTCATGATTAGTTTGTTCAACCTTAGGGCACAAGAATTTTTAAAAGTAAATTATATCTTCACCTCCTTACATTCTCCTTGTACTCGACAACATTGGTTGGTTGTCTAGCGCTATGCAAAGCTCATATTCTCAATACTTTATAAGCATTCTTGTTAGGTTGTAATTGTTGTGCACAGCGGAAATTTCGGCAGAGTTTCTGGTGCACAATAAGAGAGAAAGATCGATAAGAATTCTTGTTTCTCAAAGGGAACAAGAATCTGAAAGCCTAATATCCCATCAAAGTAGGATATTTGCTCTTCCTCTCGTCAGCTCTAGGACTGCGCGTCGAGGGATCCTAAAAACTATTACAATGGCCACAAACTCAAACAACCAATTTTTACGTGGTTCGGCAAACCGCCTACGTCCACAGGGCAAGGGGGAGATCTACTATTAGAGGGAGAGATACAACTAGGGTTTACAATCACTCAATCTAAACCCTCACACAATCTCTTAAACCCCTCATACAATTATCTCTCTCAAAACAAAAGACAGCCGCCAAAAAAAAAACAAAGAAAAGCCGATCTGTTCCTTGCACTGCTCCAAAGCCACCTTCGCACTACTCCCAAGCCGCCGCACAAACCCACTGTGCACTTGAATCAGCCGCCCTTTTTTTCTTTTTTTTTTCTTTGCTGTACTTTTTCCCTTCAATTCCTGCACTTGCACCCGAAACAAAGAAACCCTAGGTGCCCTTTTATAGCAATCAAGCAATCGGGTTTTCATCCGCTCACAAGGACTTGATGAAGACGTGTGGCCCCCACTCTCCACGAAAAAACGCGTTCACAACTGCATCTATCACGAAACAAAGAAAACTTCTGTGGGTTGTGGTCCCCACTTCACGTGACTCTTCACAATTCTCCACATCGGCGAAGTTTTCTCAAAACAGAGCCGACACCAACCAAAACAAATGTCTCACTTGTTGTGTCCAGTACGAAGTGAAACAATTCGCGACAACGGACTCAATCCATAACAAGTCGAGAACCCAAATGAGAATGCGAACACTCTCCAAATGTCGGTATCAACTCACCAAATCGATCTCACCCCATCAAAATCCAACCCGGCTGCATCATAAAGACTGCTTACGTATCCTCTTGCCCAAGGAATCAAGCCAAACGTAGTTCACTCAAATGGCCGCGAACGACCTCAATCCAATAGAAGAGTTCGCAACCCTTCTCCAATATCATCAACTCTGCGGCTGATAGCACCTCCATTGGCCTCAAACACATCCACTTGAGGCGAACCAATGGCCATATCCAAACTATGTCTGTCAGCTGCACTCGAATCAAATTCTAACTCATCATCTGCATCCGAATCCAAATGACTTCCACACTGTGTCACCTCAGCTGGAATCCCAACCAATACAGAATGATCTGGAGTAATCTTTACCCAATGTGGAGTAGCATCACTCTCCACCCGCTGTGATACCTCTAAGGTCTGTCCAAAACTCTCCACCTGCTGAGAGTCAATTGGCTTCCTCATCGAAGCCTCAACCAAAGTGACACTATCAGACCTATCTTCCAATGGAGTTTTACCTCCAATCGCAACAGTTGACAACTCTTTAATAGGATGACTCAAATATGTCGAAGCCTCTGTCCAGAAACTCTTCTGCAAACCATTGTTCGACCACAAACACCGATCCTCCTCCAGCAAGGCACGGTTCTCCAAATTTACCACCCTATCTAGTTGCCCCAAGATTTCCTTTCCAACGTAGTGTCTCAAAATGCCGTGAGCTCGGCTCCAATACAGAAATAGGTCCATCTTGTACCTCCCACCAGAATGCAGTACCTTCACCTTTTTGTCTATTACACACTTCTTCAATCTGTTGGATACTACTAGGACTTTCTCCAAAGGGGATTTGGTTGCAACCCAAACACGCCTAGAACAGTCACCAACAAAGGAAACCAAACGCCTATTACCTCCCAATGATGCCCCCTTGGAAGGCCCCCAAACATCCACGTGAACTCCTCCAGAACGACCCTTAGCACGGTGAATAGAGGTGCCACACTTCACCTCGGTCTTCTTGCTCACATCAACATGTTCACTGGACTTCAAACTGCAGGTCTTTGCACCCTCTTTCAATCTATGCGAGGAATCAATACTGGAATGGCCAAGCTCCAAATACCACAGTCTAGTCGAATCAATAGAAGTCGTCAGCTCTTCACCTGCCACTATACCTCCAGTCAAGTAATATATGTTATTTCTCCTGACGCCCTTCATCAAAATACGAGAGTCTCTCGCAATCTCGAGAACCATATCCTCAACAAATACGAGAGTCTCTCGCAATCTCGAGAACCATATCCTCAACACGAACCTTCAGACCCTCTCCAACCAAAGCTCCAATCGAGATCAAGTTCTTCCTCAAAGAAGGAACATATCTCACATCATTTAACTCCCTAACAGTCCTGTCAAACATTTTGATGCGAATTCTTCCTATCCTAAGGATCTGGCATGCACGGTTATCAGCCATGTACACCACACCACTATCCACCAGCTTCTCAAAACTGGAGAACCATTCCCTTCTAGGGCACACATGATAGGTCGCACCACTATCCAACATCCATTCAGATTCCTCCGAATAGCTATCTGTAGGACTGATAGAAAGCGAATAAATAGAAGAGTCAGAATTATTACCATCCGATACGATGTTTGCTTCTGATGATGGTTGCTTCCCTTTTCCCTTCTGCTTATTCTTCATCCATTCGTTGAGCTTTGGGCAGTCTTTCTTCCAATGATCAGTCTCCTTGCACTAAGCACACTGATCTTTTTTAATTGTAGGATGCCCTACTCTAGACTATGACTTCCAATTCTTTCGGTTTGGATTCTTCCCTCTTGCGACCAACGCCTCTGCTACCGACTCAGTCGAATTCTCCTTATCCTTCTTCCGAAGCTGATAATTCACCAATGCAGCAGTGATCTCACTATACGAAAGTGATGCCTTCCTATTAATAAGAGTAAGGACGAAGGTCTCATATTCCTCGTCGGGCAAGGAACTCAACAATAGAAATGCCTTGTCCTCATCTTCAATCTTGACATCCACATTCGCCAAATCCGCAAGAAGCTTTGTGTAGTGATTCATGTGATCTCTAATTGAGGTTCCCTTCTTCAACTGGAAACGATAAAGTCTCCTCTTCAAATGCAAGCGGTTCTCAACACTCTTTGTCAGATACTTGCTTTCGAGAATCTCCCAAATCTTCTTTGCAGAAGTCTTATTCATCACATCATATTTTAGATCTTGAGTCAAACAAGACCTAATCACACTACGCGCCGTTCGATTCATCTTTTTCCAAACCTTCTCTTCAATCTCATCTGGCTTGCCATCTAACTCTAAGGTATCCTCCAAATTCTGCGCGTTCAGCGCATCCAAAACCTCGCATCTCCATAATCCAAAGTTGTTTATGCTATTAAACTTCTCCACATCTATCTTCATAGAGTGGATATTCAAACTCTGAATGGTCTTCATGCCAGAAGCACCACCCTCGACACCCGAAGCACCCTCTTTCCCCGACATCTTACGCACCAACGAACAAAGAATAGATCCAAATCTGAAAAGATAGAGTCTTTACCAAAAGATTCCACCTTTATCACCAACGAAGCCCTAAACGAGCCTCCAAATTGATCTACTCCTCCAACCAAACCCTAGATTTGGAATCTGGGCTCTGATACCATTTGTTGTGCGCAACGGAAATTTCGGCAGAGTTTCTGGTGCACAATAAGAGAGAAAGATCGATAAGAATTTTTGTTTCTCAAAGGGAACAAGAATCTGAAAGCCTAATATCCCATCAAAGTGGGATATTTGCTCTTCCTCTCGTCAGCTCTAGGACTGTGCGTCGAGGGATCCTAAAAATTATTACAATGACCACAAACTCAAACAACTAATTTTTACGTGGTTCGGCAAACTGCCTACGTCCACGGGGCAAGGAGGGGGGAGATCTACTATTAGAGGGAGAGATACAACTAGGGTTTATAATCACTCAATCTAAACCCTCACACAATCTCTTAAACCCCTCATACAATTATCTCTCTCAAAACAAAAGAAATCTAAACCCTCACACAATCTCTTAAACCCCTCATACAATTATCTCTCTCAAAACAAAAGACAGCCGCAAAAAAAAAAACAAAGAAAAGCCGATCTGTTCCTTGCACTGCTCTAAAGCCACCTTCGCACTGCTCCCAAGCCGCCGCACAAACCCACTGTGCACTTGAATCAGCCGCCCTTTTTTTCTTTTTTTTCTTTGCTGTACTTTTTCCCTTCAATTCCTGCACTTGCACCCGAAACAAAGAAACCCTAGGTGCCCTTTTATAGCAATCAAGCAATCGGGTTTTCATCCGCTCACAAGGACTTGATGAAGACGTGTGGCCCCCACTCTCCACGAAAAAATGCGTTCACAACTGCATCTATCACGAAACAAAGAAAACTTCTGTGGGTTGTGGTCCCCACTTCACGTGACTCTTCACAGTAATTTCCACCATCTTCTGATGTGAAAACTTGTGTTTATGTTGCTTTGGTTTCTTATTAAGCAGGTAGGGCGTGTGATAAGGCAAAAGGTACAAGCTTGAATATTGCTACAGAACTCGTCCTTGTAATCCGAAAGATTACGGTCAAGATGTTCAAATCGTGAAGTTATTTTGTCGTGTGTACATATGTATGGAGAGAATTACCATTCGTTGTGTTTCGGTGTGGCCTTGTATTCATGAGAATTTATACTTTATATTAGGAATATCATGACATTTATTTTAGATTTGTTTTGATTCTTTCATTTACTTTATAAGCATTCTTGTTAGGTTGTAATTTCCACCATCTTCTGATGTGAAAACTTGTGTTTATGTGGCTTTGGTTTCTTATTAAGCAGGTAGGGCGTGTGATAAGGCAAAAGGTACAAGCTTGAATATCGCTACAGAACTCGTCCTTGTAATCCGAAAGATTACGGTCAAGATGTTCAAATCGTGAAGTTATTTTGTCGTGTGTACATATGTATGGAGAGAATTACCATTCGTCGTGTTTCGGTGTGGCCTTGTATTGGTGAGAATTTATACTTTATATTAGGAATATCATGACATTTACTTTAGATTTGTTTTGATTCTTTCATTGACCTTTCTTTTTGCAAATATTATGTGTGAGAAATATTGTTCTTTAATTAGTGGAATTGTGGGTGTGCTTCTGCTTATTAATATTTACAAACTCGATATTGATGGCTACTCAAGGTTTTGTTAGAAAATTACCAATATTTTTTAAATACATGTTTATTAACCTGTTACTTCCCAAGATACGAGTGATACTAAGTTTGAATAATTATGCTTGAACTGCATCATTGTCTAGAGCTTGTTCGGAATCATCTTTCTTCACCTGAGGTTATGAATAACTTGCAAGTTCAAAACTATGTAAGATTATACGCAAATTAGAGTCATTGTAAATTTGACTAAATTTTTTTAAGTTAAGATTGTGTAAACATGTTCGGTAACTTGTAAATTTTTAAAAAATACGATAGAATCACAATTTAATTTAATTATTTTTTATAAATTATTTAAAATCTAAATCTAATTCTAAAAAGTATGAATTAAAATTATGTTGTGATAATTTTCTTTCTTTTTTTCTTAGGGGGGGTTAGTCATCTAGAACTTAAAACTAGAACTGGGATAATTTGTGGGATAAAATTTTAAGGTGTTAGTCACATAGAACTAGGAAATGAGATATTTTTTTATAGTGTTAGTCAAGTAGAACTTTTGTAGAACTAGAACTGTATTATTTTTTTGGTGCGTTAGTCAAGTAGAATTCTACTAGAATTAGAATTGGGATAATTGGTCATAATTATCCCACAAATTATACTACCTATATATATAACCATAAGTTCTCCTCTCTCAAATTATCCCACACATTGGAAAGAATACAATTGAAAAAAAAAAAGTGAAACCCCACCTCCCTCTCTCTTGGTTAGTTTCTCTGCCTAGAAAATTTCTCTACCATGAAGTCAATCATCCGTTCATTTTTTTGTCTTTACTTTGTTTTTCTGATGATTAGATCTTTTATTATTATCTTCAAAATGTATTACTTTATTGATAGTTTTTTAACGTTAAATTACTTTATTATTATTTATTTGATCTAAGTTTTCTCTCCACAACAGTGGTTTAGGTTAAGAATATAGTGTTGGTGGGTTAGTGCTAAAGATATGCGGGCTATTTATGTTTTTTTTATAAGTTAGAAAGCAACTTTGCGATCACATTGATGATTAGATGTTGAATGGTTAATGGTGATATCTATTATTATTAAATCGGCTCAGTAAATTGATTGGGATATTTATAGTTCATCTGTCGATCATCTGTTTAGCGGCCATGGATGATTCCTGTGTACATTTTATTTATTTGCTGATTTGGTTTTAGCGATCATGATGAGATTGGTCCAAAGGGTTAATGGCTGAAAAATGCTTATTTTTTTTTCTTTATGATGTTATGAGATTTGAACTTCGACATTTATGATCCTCCACTAGAAGTTCCACGAAATGTTGCTGATGCAGACGATGACTCCGATAAAGAAGACGAGATACAGACTCAACGAGCAGCTGTAGGAGCTTGGAGAAATTCTATGGCAGATGCCATGTGGGATGATAGAAGTCATGTGGGATGATGGAAGTCGAGTCACTCTAGGGATTTAGATTTTTATTTATTTGTAAATTATTTTATTATTTGAGATGAATAGTGATGCTTTATTGCATTATATTTTATAGTTATTACTAGAATTTGCTTATCAATATTATATTATTTTTAATATACAATTATTAACAATAGTAATTTATACCCACCATTACCCCACCAAATTATCCTACCAAATTATGCAACTTCATAATATTATCCATCATTATCCCACCAAATTATTCTACCAAATTATATCACTTTAAGAATTACCCATCATTGTTCCACTAAATTATCCCAATGTCAAAATATTATCCCACTTTACCAATTATCCCAGTTCTACTTAAAAAGTTCTAGGTGACTATCTTAGAAAAATAACCAAACAAGAGAAAATAACTTTCTTATAAATTTTCTTCTAACTTTCCTTATAATATTCTTTCTCACCAAACAATAAAAAGAATATCATTTTCTTTTCTTTTTCTTTTCCTTTCCTTTTACTTTCTCTTTCTTTTTCTTCTCTTCTTTTCTTTCAAACCTAACATAGCCTTTATGTTTTCTCTAAAGTCTGCTGCAGGATATTACCCCCCAAAATAAGTCCATAGCACCTAGATTTAAGATGTCAAGACTGCATTATTTAGCTAAAAGTCTGTATAAACATCAAATGTTTTAACCCCCAGAAGCTGTAAATCAATCACCAATGTTAATTAAACATCAACATGCAGATGGATGAGTTCCCATGAATGTAAACTTTCCACATTGTAGCGTGAACATAAATAAATCCTGGGACCTCAAAGGCTCTCCTCTAATTGTTTCTTAGCCTCTTCGGAACAAGGTACCGCCTAGAACTTTCCTTTTCATTCTCTAAACAAATTCAACAAAATGGCTCAACTTCTTCCAAATTCCTGGCCGTTGATATCCTTTGCTTTTCTGAGTAACCGGAACAAAATATCCAGGAAATTTCTTAACTAACAAAAAAAAAAAAAACAGAGAGAAAATATACATGAAGAAAAGAGGGGGGGAAGTAGAAGTACACAAGGACGAGATAAGTGCTTTCTAAATCAAAATCTCATGTTGCTCCGAGTTGATTGTCTAATCCCATGGATCATGCCCATTCTTATCTTTATGCAACTTGTTGCTAATCTTTCGCAGGCCCCTCTGAATTAAATTAACTCTGTGAAATCTATGGTTTCCATGTACATCTCCTTCATTGTCATTAGAGCCATCACTACCTGTAGACACAAATGATTCTGGACTGTTTGAGAACTCTGAATCCTCATCAGGGCGACAGCCGCCTTTTATAGGGCTCAACTTTTTTGAACTTGGAGATCTTGATGTTGTTGCTTCAGTTGCTTCGGAGGATCCATCATCACTGCTCTTTCCTCGGTTTGAGTCCTGTACGAAAATGGGATGAAGTGATACTGAGATATACATAAAAACCTATTTGCATATGCTTCGATCCAGTGCATATATATACCACTACCTTCTCGTTTTCTTCTAGTACAGTAATTGCCAAGTGAAGTCTTCCTGTTCTGATGTTCCTCAAGGTAAACCATTTGTCATGCCTCTGTCCGCCAATTAACTTATTAATGTTGATATGACACTCTCTGTTAAAACCGTCAAAACATGGTTAGCACCTCAAAACGACAACAAAAAATTAAGCCTTTATCCCAAATTTTAAAGTACCATATTCTTCCATTAAGTTCTGTTAAGCTAAGGGTTGTCAACTCCATTAAGTTAACTATTATCATCAGGGACAAATCCAGGAATTTTTTCTTATGGGGTCGCGTTTACTATTACACATATAAACTAATTAGTTATATAATACAAATTCTGACAATAGAAAAAAATTATGTATACAATTATACAAAAGATCTTAATACATAATACTTTTTATTATCGTTTTCATCGCAAAAGTCAAAACTAATAAAAATACTACTAAATTCCAACAACGGTCCTTCATAATTGTGAGATTATCAATCTCATGAAACACCTATATAAAATCAATGAAGGCACCTATATAAACTTCTATATTCCTTTAAAAAAATCTTATGGGGATACGTTCCCCAAAAAACACAATATGGATCCATCCTTCTACGAAGTTCTTGTAGGCCTACCATCAATCCTTTTTGTCACCATTAACTATAATATAGGTAAAGCTAGACTAAACTTAAGTGGACTGAAAACTCTGGTCGCCAACTTTTTTATATGTTGGATTTGCTTTGATACTCATGTTATTATGTGATACACATCAAAACTATCTTTGAAATGAGCACCTTGATGTATATCACACAAAAGCACGATTCAAAGCAGAGTAAACGAGTAAAAAAGTTGACGGATAGAGGCCTCAGTTGCATTTCTTGGTGGTTGCATGTTTGATGGTAGATCGAGAAAAGCAAGCATGATATTAGGTAGACTTTGCATTTATGAAAGTTCTATGAAGGAGCCTGATATTACGCATTAGGTTACTATAAAACATAGTTTATATAGAGGAAGGGAACAAACCCAAGTGTATCATTAAACATGCGATCTTTATCACAAACTTGGATAATGAGTTCATTAGGTGCTTCCCAAGAGCTGATGGGTATCTTAAACTCTTCTTGCCATCTGGGTGCCAATGTCTTCTTCTGAATCTTGGTTCTGAATCTATAAGGACCTAGCTGACCTTTAACATACGGATCAGCAAAACCTGCAACAAAGTCCAGTCAATTTCATGGAAAAGTTTTATTTCATATCAAAGAAACAGAGTGAATAAAATTTAATGAGACCTACCACTTATATCCCCTGCTTTCATGTCAGCTGCTTCTATTACCTCCACTTTTGCAAATGCAATAGGATGTTTCTCATAAATAGTAAACCAATCTGCAAAGATATTATCATCCAATTTCTTCCAGGATAAGAGAACTTTTCAAAAATATTATACTATTAAAATTGATTCCAGAAATGTGTTTTTTCCGACTGATTAATGACACGATTAATAGGGAACACGGTATGAGGCCAGTACATGACACCTATCTTTTTTCTATGCAACTGTAGCATCCCAAAAGTCTAACCTTCTGATACACTAGTATCAATTCCAATTGATTTCTATAAGAGATTAATGGGTATCATATGTCACATGAGGGGATTCCCTCATATACAATGATGTGGCAATATCTCTCCTAAGTGTGGTTATGAGGCATTCTCTCTCCTACTTTATTCACTTGGTGGAGATTGTGCCACATCATTGCATATCACGGAATCCCCTCATATGACATATGATACCCATTAATCTCTTTCTATAAATGCATAGTAAAGAAAGTTATCAGATCTGTTGAAAAAAACCTTCCATCAAAACAAAATTTTGAGTACTTGTTTACACATGAGAGATGGAGAGGTCATATTAAGTATCTTATTTGTATCTTAGCTTTGGTATGTTACATGAGTTAAAGGAAAAGAATTGCATACAAAAGCTATTAGGTGGATAGTCAAAAGACTGTATCAAGCGATATAGGTTTAAACAAGTAAGGTTTCTAAAGCATCACTTGTCATAATGCAAAACTAGAGATATACCAAGATAATACAAGGCATCCCAGCCATTTTGAAGAAACATAAAAATCAGGAATAAACAAAAATTAACTATGATTACAACAGAAAACGATGACATAAAGCTGCAGTAGTTATAGTGTCGTCTTTGAACACTATTACCTGTCATTCTTGAAGCAAATTTTTCCACATCTACAACCAGCATATTTGGCTGAAGCAAACAAGTAAAAACAATCTGTTATTGACCAAAGCTTTAATCTTTCAAGTGTACATTATGTGTTGCCTATTACTATTACTATTGATCGTAATCTATCTTATTGTTGTGTGAAAATAAGCATATTATCATCAATGTATGTGCAGTTTTACTTCCTCTTGATATATTTCAAGTACGAAAAACAATCCACTGCAAGAAAAGAAAACAACCTCAACCAATGTCTCCTCAAATACAATAGCCAGTAACTTATCCTGTCAACAAGGGAAGGTTTATTGGAAAAATTGCCAAATGGTAGTGAAGATCAACAAATAAATTGAAACTTTTTACATACATAAATGAAAAAATAAGTTTACCAGCCACCCTGCGATTCCTGGAACTTCAGTAACATCAACTCCATGATGGAAGATAGGTTTAATTGTCATCTGGAAGTATGGTGCCTCGACAAAGCATACTCGTACATGTCCAATAAATGGCCAGTGGTCAATAAACTTCAGTCCAACCAAAATCTACTTAGCCAAGGAAAAAGAACTTTAGCACATCGAATAATATATTATGAAGCATCAAGGGCAACAGGATTAACACCAGCTAATTAAGAAAGTTACAATATATAGGAAAAAGTAAGGTTCATTTCATCCAGTTTCTTGCTACTTAAATAGCTACTTTGTTAAAATAATATCTATTAATGACACTCAAATCATTAAGACAAAAATGACATGTAAAACGGCCGGGACATAAACTAAAATTCCATAATTAACAAGGGCAATTTATCGCTATTCATTTTCCTACATATAACACTAAATTCCTGACCTAAGAGACACTATAAACATACTCGCTAAAGAAATCCAAACAGCTTCGCAAAATGCATTAAATTATTGCTGAAATTTTTAGCTACTAATAGATCCACAAGGCACGTCTCTAGATATAGCATTATAGGTTTCAAAGAATATAATTAGCTATGACAGAGCACGTGCAGAATATTTATTTAACATTTCATGAAGTGCATTTTAAAAAGGAAAAATATTGCAATTCACATTTTGCAGTATGATTGTCTTCTTACCTTTCCTTCAACATGCATGCCTGTCACATGCATTTTTGCCCGCATTCCAAATCCTAATCTTTTCCTTAGTTGGACCACAAGTTCTGCATCAATATCTTCGGCAGAAATAAAATTCAAGCCCAGCTCCAAAATCTGCAGGATTTGACTTTTACATGCTAAAAAGAATCACGCGCAACTTTAGCGAGGTCAAAGTTCAATGTTTACCATGTCATCATCACCATCTGGTTCATGAAGAACCCTTATCTCAGTAAATGTTGGGGGGTTCCTACCCAAATAAAGGTGCCGAACAGCTGCTTCCTTCTGTGTATATGAAAATTGTACTGATATAGTGAATCTCTCATTGATATAAATAGAGAACCACTTTACACTAAAAGTAGGGGTAAGTTGCAGGGAAAAAATATTTCACACTTTTAGCATATTTTTGCATAATTACTCTGCATTGTTTGTTTTAATATGCCACTTCAACTACATTAAAAACTAATTGTTCAATTTTCGTATAAACTTTATTGATATTTTTCTGTAAATTCTATTTAAGAGAATGAGGGAGGTTAGACAAGTAGTCTTCTAGCTTAGTATAGTATCCAATGATAAATGTTGAGTTGTTCTGTACGCTAAATCCGTCTCGGTGCTTCATATTGTAAGATTCAAATAAATCTCAAAATGAGTCTAAACCCTAGTTACAAAACCTCTTTGGTACATCTTGTAAACTAGTTACTACATGGAACCAGAAGCAGTGCTTCAAAACTAAGTGTTTACTTCCGACAATAAATGTAAGTATCCCACCATAAATACAAGTATGATATCAACATACATATATGGCACATACACTAGGTTAGCAACCAACAAATCATAAAAGTACAAGAAGTAATAGCCATACAGCAGTCCAAGGCTTGTAGTTCTCCAAGAACCATGGTATGATGGGCAGGAGGAATTCTTTCGATGCAATTTGTTCCATGCATATAGGCCAAGCTCTTTCAACTACATGATTTAGCCATCGCACCGATTCTGAATCCAATAGAAGCTGAAATCAACATAGATGATGGTTACTTATCATGGATCATGATAGAACCAAATAATATAACATGAGACCTTTCCTCAAATTTTCAATACCCTGTTTTGGTTGGCAGATTTTCTTTCCTCAAATTGCAGTCTCCGCCACAATCTCTTTGAATAACTTTGATTGACCTTTAAAAAAATGATTTGAACAGTTAAAAAAAAAACTCTCAAGAGAAAACAAACCTAGCTCTAAATTCAGTCATGTCTCCATGTAAAAATCCAAAACCACCATGTTAAAATTTCGAGACACTTGCAATCATCCTTCTATATTCAACTGGTTTCAAGCATTCATACACAATCCTTGCAGTCCAAAATTTTGTTTTAACAATCAATTCCTCAATCTGTTGATTAGCACATAAGGGAACTTCACATGCATCAAATAGTTTACATCATACTCCACATACCCAAAAGCCCAATCCTCACAAAATCAAACAATAAGAAAAACAAAAGCAAAAGGGTGCAAATTCGAGAGCATGCCTCGTAGAGGTACAGGAGAGCGATGAAGAAGGCAAAAGGGTGAGAGCGTCCAATGTAGTTCAAGATCCACAGAACCAACAGCACAAAAGCTAGATGATGTATAATTGAAACCTCTGCTCTGCCCATTAGTTGTTTTTTTGGAAATTAACGGAAATTTTCGGAAAGGGTTTTGAGATTTGGTCTTCATTTGATTTCGAGGGATTTTGACGAGAGAAGGCAGGACCGAGTCCGACGTGTGAACGTTCTCCTTTTTTTTTATTTTTTTTATTTTTGTTGTGATACGTGGGGCACTGAGATTGTGACAGCAGATGAATTTCACAACGCCCCCACAACTCCAAACGCCTTAAACTTTGGTTATCTCAAATCACCCCCTCCAAACGTTTAATTTTCCCCCACATACCCGCTAATTAATGACATTTTTGTTTAACGTCAAATACTCAAAAGCCCTCAAGGAAAGCTTTGATTCTCAGTATAGTTGCAAAAAATTGTGTCCTCTATTGAAAGAGTTTAGATGAGGAAATTGTATTGTTTTAAAAAACCTTGAAATTTCATTATTCTTGAACATTAGAAAGAAATATTCAACAGAAAATGAGTGGGACTTTTTTTTAAAGAGAAAAAGAAATCAGGGCTTTTTTATTGTTGTTTTTTTTTGGGGGGGAGGGGGGATTATAGCATCCCAAAGTTTTGAGGGGTTTTGTGACATTTATCTTATTCTAGGATGGGCTTATATGTACTTTGATATCCTCAAATCTTACACTTTTGGAGTGCTGCAACAGGGACCTCAAAATAGGGGACCTTGCATGTGACAGGTGAGGTGTCGTCTCCCTGTCCCGTGATAGTGCATCACGGGACAGGGAGACGACACCTTACCTGTCCCACTCGGTGTCCCTTGTTTTGAGGGTCCTTAAGGCATTTTTCTTTTTCGAAAATACACCCTTATATTTTAATATTTTCAAGGGACTAATTATCGAGGTTGAAAACAAGCCTTTAGGACTTTTTCCATATCAGTCCCATAGTATTTTGAAATTAGTCCTCAAATAATTGAAATTCCTATTAATCCTCAAAATCTTATATCTTGCTGCTGCTGCCCGTACTCTTAATTGGAGAGATTAATTAAAATAGCTTATAAGATGGGGACCTAATACAAATTCCAATTATCCTAGGATGGATTAATTTAGAACAGCTTATAACTATTGGGGATCTAATAGCAGTTTTGATGTGAGGGACTAATCTTGGATCAATTTATAAGAAGCGGAGGACCTCTTAGCATTTCAATCATTTGACAGAGTAATTGTAAAATATTAAAGATTTAAGGGACAGATTTTAAAACTTGCAAAATTTTCCATTACAGGTATACATAAAAGTGCAATTGTTGACAAATGACAAATTTGCAATGCGCATACCGATTCAGTGATTCCAATATACATTATTTAAGCAAATAGGCCCAACTTGATGTAATTATTAATTTACATTCTGGGTTTGTGTTACTATTTATACCATATATATCAGGTCTAGGGACGATGGACGCGAGCTAGCGAATTGTTCAATCGAAATAAATTGTGCGTCTCATCGTTGGTCCATTTTGGTAGCTTACCCAGGGGGGAGATATTAATTTGGTTACAGAATTTTACAATTGAACTTTTCACATTCAGAAATTCCCAGGTTTCACATTTGATTTGCATGACGACTTGTCTTGTTTTGGATTATATTGATAAAGAAGTAGTCCCATTCCTAGTTGTCATAGGAAAGCGAAGAATGAAAAAGGTTGGTAAGACTCGACCCATAACCCTAACAATCTACTCTCTACTCTTCTTAGGGTTCGTTTGGTATCTAAGCTCAAGAAAGGGGGGTTAAACATTAACATGGTAACTATTAAGAAAAGTTGGTGAGAAAAATATTCCTTATCTAAAAATATTATTGTTAAATATTAACCTTTGTCTCCATGATAGCACATATATATATATATAGGTACTGAAAAGATTAGAAAAGCTTAAACTTTGAGTTAAAAGTTGAGATCCAAAGTTCATTTGCGCTTGTTTGATAACTAGATTGATTAAGCACTAGTCCGAATCTATCATCAGCACAACAAAGTACAAAGATGTATGTTTTTCGCTCGAAGCTGGATTCACCCAAGGCTCAATCTCTACTCATTTTCAATTGATCATTACAAATGATAAGTATTAAAGCTCTACAGAACTTCGGTTCTGGATCAGTGTCGACTTGGCAAGGTTTTGTGTTTCCAATTAGGTGAATGAAAACCAAAAGAGTAAAGCATAGCGATCAAAATATGCAAAGATTAATGCTTTACACGCATTTTGCATATTAAGAATGTAGCCTATTGCCTGAAGCTCTCGCTATGCATGATGTCAGAGAGGGATTGGGCCACTCTGGCCGGATTGTAGGCAGTCTTATCTTGCATCTTGATAAGAGGTTAGTCCCATAACTCAACCGTGACATCTAGGTAATACAGTAAAAATAATGCTAGGGGTACACCTGTGGAGAAGAACTTGGAAAAAACAGATTTTCAGTCATAAGTCGACTCATGCACAGGCATAAGTCGACTTATGGTAAGTCGACTTATGTTTGTGTCGTAAGTCGACTTACGATCTGCTGTGGATTGTTGATTTTGGGCTCTGGCAAGTCGACTTATCAGACCTGTTAAGTCGACTTATGAACTCTTCTCCAGTTGTCGTTTTTCGCTCTGCCAAGTCGACTTATGCAGACTGATAAGTCGACTTACGACGGGTTTTTTGGAAAGTTCAGGTTCCTATTTGCAGTCTGTTTGGGTTTCTGTTTTGGTATAAATACCAATACGATTTGAGGGTTTTGGAGGAGCATATTTGGGGTTTTTGGAGCACAGAAAAGAGAGATCTTTCTGAGCTATTGGTTAGGGTTATTGGTTGAGAGGTTGAGAGATTTGTTGGTGAGATTAGTTGGTTCGTTTGAGCGATTTGTAATCTCAATTTGTACTCTCCTTCTCTATTAGTAGAAACCCACCCCCTTCTTGCCCCGTGGACGTAGGCAATTGCCGAACCACGTTAAAATTGGTGTTTGTGTTTGTGCATTGATATTTGATTGTTTTTTGCCTTCTTTGATCGGCGTTTGTTTTGGTTCCTCGGCGTCGCCGTCTGTTCACAACAAGTGGTATCAGAGCATATCGTTGTTTGGCACTACAAGTGGTATCAGAGTTCGGGCTACGCTTGGGCTATTTGGAGGAGTAGATCGTTTTGGAAGTTCGTCAAGGGCTTCGTTTGGTGATAAAGGTGGGGTCTTTTTGGTAAAAATCTCATCTTTTTTAGTTTTGGATCTATTTCTCGTTTGTTTCCGCATTGGTTTGGTGGTGTTTTGAGGATTATGGCCGAGAAAGAAGGAGTTGTGGGCAGTACTTCCGGCGTGAAGACCGTCCAAAGCTTGAATATCCACTCGATGAAGATTGACGTGGAAAAGTTCAATGGCACAAACAATTTTGGACTTTGGCGATGCGAAGTCATGGATGCGCTCAACGCGCAAAATTTGGAAGATACGTTGGAGTTGGACGGGAAACCGGACAACATTGATGAGAAGGTTTGGAAAAAGATGAATCGAACGGCGTGTGGTGTGATTAGGTCTTGTCTCACTCAAGATCTAAAGTATGATGTGATCAATGAGACTTCTGCAAAGAAGATTTGGGAGATCCTTGAGAGCAAGTATTTGACCAAGAGTGTGGAGAATCGCTTGCATTTGAAGAGGAGGCTTTACCGCTTCCAGTTGAAGAAAGGAACCTCCATTGGTGATCACATGAACCACTACACGAAGCTTCTTGCGGATTTGGCGAATGTGGATGTTAAGATTGAAGATGAGGACAAGGCGTTGTTGCTATTGAGTTCCTTGCCTGACGAGGAATATGAGACCTTCGTTCTTACTCTTATTAATGGGAAGGCATCTCTTTCGTATAGTGAGGTCACCGCTGCACTTGTGAATTATCAGCTTCGAAAGAAGGATAAGGAGACTTCGTTTGAGCCGGTAGCGGGGGCGTTGGTCGCAAGAGCAAAGGGTCCAAACCGTAGTGGGAGGTCGCAGTCTAGAGGGGCACATCTTGGAGTTCGTAAGAATCAGTGTGCCTTTTGCAAAGAGGATGGACATTGGAAAGCCGAATGCCCAAAGTTAGTTGATCGAGCCGGGAAGAATAAGGGAAAAGTTATTCAAGCTTCAGAGACAAATGTTGTCAAGGCTAGTGGCAACGATTCAGATTCGGATTCTTCAGGCTACTCATTATCTGCACTGCCGTCAGTTTGTGTTGTCTACTATACAGAGTGGATGTTGGATTCGGGGGCTACATACCACATTTGCCCTAGGAGGGATTGGTTCTCCAGCTTTCAGGAGTTGGAAAGAGGGGATTTCGTGCTCATGTGGAATGATCACAAATGCTCTATTAGTGGTATCGGTATCGTTCGGATCAGGATGAGTGACAGAGTGATTCAGGAGTTGGTTGGAGTGAGGTTCGTTCCTCAGTTGAAGAAGAATATCATTTCACTTGGAGCTTTGGAGGCAGCAGGCTATAGGGTGACCTTGGCGGATGCACGCTTGAAGGTTATATTTGGGTCCATGATTGTGATGAAGGGCGTCAGAAGGAGTAATTTGTACTATTTGCTTGGAAGCACGGTGATTGATAGGGAGATGACGACTTCATCAGATTCGGCTAGACTGTGACATTGTTTGGTGCTGGGGTATATGATTGGTAATGCCGTGTATTGGTTGTTGAGGAGTGCTATGATCTGCAGATTGAAGTCCTGTGAGCATATTGGGATGAGCAAGACCGAGGTGGAGTTTGGCACTCCTATCCATCGAGCGAGTGGTCTTTTAGGAGGTGTTCAGTTAGGCATTTGGGGGCCTTCCAAGGAGGCATCATTGGGAGATAATCGTATCTTAGTTTCCGCAGTTGATGATTGTTCTAGGTATTATTAGGTTGCGACCAGTTCCCGTTGGTGTAAAGTCCTAGAAGTCAACAACAATTGGAAGAAATGTATTGGCAGAAAGGTAACTCGTTGTTCTAGATTTGGTAGGGGTCCTTTCTTGCGTTTGTGCCGAGCTCACGGCAATAGGAGACACTTCATTGGTGTGGAGACTTTGGGGCGACAAGATGAGATGACAGTTTCGATGGGTCGTTTCTTTCTGGAGGAGGATCGGCGTTGGTTGTCGAGCATTGGTTCTGGAGCTTCGACTTATTTGGGTCATCTTAGTCACAGGT